CCCCCCTTTTTTTTTTTTTTTTTTAATTTTTGTTTTTATGCTTACCCTGCTGTGTTTCACCTTCACATTCTGGTTGTGCCTCTCCCTCCCTGTTCACTGGGGACCCAAACCGTGCTTTTGCATTTTTACTCTTCTAGCACAAACATGTAATGTGAGAATCCATGCTGAGGATTGGGCTACTGTTAACAGAAATGTGTAAAATGCAAGTTCGTTTTAAAAAAATTTATATATATAGATATATGCAAATGCTTTCACCTCCCCTCCCAAATCACCTACAAAAGGTCACTATGCCAGGCTTCCTGTTTGTAGGTGGAGAGGAGCAGAGCTGGCCTGCAGGCCCCAAGGCTGCAATGTGAAGGGGAGGAGACTGAAGTTCATCTGTCTTATCTCTGTTCTGTCAATAAAATGGAGCTGGGTCTTTTTTTTTTTTTAATTATTATTTCAAAGAGGAAGAGTAAGTTGGGTTTTGTTTTGTGTTGGTTTTTTTTAAAGAAAAATATCTTGGGTATTTTTTTTGCTCATCTGTTCAAAATCTCAAATCCTCCACAGTAACAGGCCAGACCATGGAGTTAACGCAAACCCAGAGACCCCTATGGATTAATTGTACTGTTTGTGAATTTGTATAAAAAAATAACAAAGATCCTCTTAAAACATTTTATATTCTTACAGTAAAAGGTTAAACATATTTATATAATAAAAGAGGAAATATGAAGTATGTTTTTGAAAAAAAAAAAAAAAAGACGTATCTGTGTTGTTTGTGCTTTTTAAAGACATGTATCTATCTGTTTATCTATCTGTTGGGTTTGCTAAGTATGCCTGGGGTTTGGGACTGCTCATTCTTTTTCTAGAGTGACAGAGAAGGAAGGAAGAGAGCTTGGTGCCTCCTGTGCAGGATGTTGAGTAACATCGTCATGAAGGGTTTGTAAGGAAGGGCTTTGGTAGGACCAGCCTTGTCTGCGAGGGCGCTCACAGCATCCGTGAGGAGAAACTGAGTTCAGCTGCCCATCGGTAAGTGTTGGTGCAGTCTGAGGTCAGACAAACCGCAAGCGCTGAAGCTCACCAGCAAGTGAATGGAGTACTCTGTGGTAGAGGAAGACATCTGGGAGGGGGACACGCAGGGCTGTGTTTCTGAATTTATTAAAACTCCAGGTAGATGGCAGAGGTTTTTTTTTCAATTTAAATTGAGGCCCATCCCGAGTGGAAGACCCATCAACAAAAACCAGTTTCCAGCAGTGACAGCCACCAAAAACTGCCCTCGCCAGCACATGAGGACCTGGGAAATCCTAAATATCTTGGTTGGTTTCCACTGCCCAGGCAAACATTAAAGAGGAAGTAAAGTGGGAATGTGTTTAAAAAAAAAAAAAGTTCAAATAGTCTGAGGTGTCCTTTGTGCTGTACCGTAATCTTTCTCCTCAACGTATGACTTTTAACCTACTGGGGTTCTTTCTTAGCCTTCCACGATGTGGGTGTTTTATTGTTGGAGATGGAGCTTAAGCAGTGTTTATAGGGCAGAGACAAAGCCTGTCTCCCCCCAGCCCGGCGGCGGGGCTCACTCGCCCCGCTGCCCCCTTCCTGCCTCGAAGGAGGGGGAATGTGAAATGGTGGAAGAAGCCGGAGCCATTGTTCAGGAAAGTTAAAAGAGGAGCTGTCCTTGCTTGCTTGCTCAGTCATGCATACTCAATCTGGCCGGGCCCGGGTCCCTATGGAAAGGAGGAGGGCGATTCTTCCCCTCTTTTTAACATTCCTCTCCAGGCCTGGCTGTATTTAAGCTGCTTTCCTCAGCGCCGAGGAGGAGGGAGGGGGATGGTCTGAAGTTCCTGTACATTTGCATTTTAAGCACTTCCAGCGCTGAGCAGGCCACTTTGTTCCCCCCGCGCTGCCCCGCTCCAGCAGCCCGCACCGGGGTGCTGCTCCAGGTGGAGCGATGACCTACCACAGGAGATCCCCCCGCCTCGGGGCCGGCCTGCCCCGGGTGCTTAGCCTCTCCTCCACAGGTATTTTTGGCTGAGGCTGGGCTAGGCATACTTCTTTGTTGCCAGCTCTAACCACCTCGCTCCTTTTATGTCAGTGCTGCATTTCAAAGGGGAAAATTGTGCTCAATTCCGGACCCTCCTAAAAAGAAACACTACCTCCTCCATGTCCTGAGGACCTGGACTATCCCAAGGTTTGGATTTTGGGGTGTGTGTTTTTTTCCCTCCTCCTTTCCTAGACTTCCGAGCTTTCGGTTGGGAGTCCATCACAAAAGCCGCATTGTTCACTTTAAGGGAAAGCCACCACAATTGGATCTAACTGAGCCTGACACTATATCCATCTTCCTCTACTTGGAGGGAGGTGTGGGGTCGGTCTTTCCTGCGTTAAGAAAAAAGTTTACAGTAACTTCTTGATAGAAAAAGAGGATGTATGTATCAGCATTATAAACAATGGGAATTCCAGATCAGGCTCCCATTACTGCTGAAAATATAAATGTTCCTGGGGTAGACAGCAGTTCCAGCCAATATGGGGAATGATACATCTCTCAAAGTGGGTTTGTTTCTGCTAGATTTGAGTGAAAATGGCATCTCCTTATTAAGCCCCATGTTCACATGGGTAATGGTGGGACATTTATATCTAAATATAACAGGTGTGCTCATAAGTTCAGCAATCAGAACTAGAACAGGATTTTTTTCCTAAAAAACACACCCCAAACTTCCTCCTCCCACTTAAAAAAAAAACCAAGCCAAAAAGCATTGCCCACATGGCCTGATAATGCTCTTTAAGGGCAACCCAAGCCAAAGGAAGCTGTAGAAACCAAAGTCTCCCTGAAGCCCAGGATTCAGACACCCTGGGCTGTTCCCGGACATGGACCAAGTGCTCCTCATGCCTTCCTCTCATGCCCCAGCATGACAGCACCTCCTCAGGCACAGACGCAGGCCTCCCTTGTCCAGCAGGGCCAGGGCTGGGAATGCATGTGTTTACTAGGAAAGAAAAGGATTTCTTAAAATAAATAATCCATTGCCAACAACCATAGACCAATTACTACATGACTTCTCAGGGTAACAAGGAAACTTAATTTTCACTCTCCAGCCACACTTGAATTTTTGAACATGACTCATTTGGCAACTGGGGTAGAAAACCATAAAAGAACAAAACCAACAACAACAAAAAAATTCCAAAAAAAACTATTTGCAAGTGAGCTGGAAGTCTCCTGTCTGTGTCAGCAAGCCCCAGTGGTGGCTTTGGTGCCAGCCTTCACCACTGAGCCCAGCAAAAGTGCTGCCAGCCCATCCAGCCATGCCAGCTGGGGCAGCAGGGTCCCTTGGCTACACTGCACAGGCTGGGGCACGGAGGATGGACCAGGGACCCACTTCATTGACTGGTGGCTCTGGGGAGCAGAGGGGCCATGGTCAAGAGGTGGTGGCAGAAAGCGGAGCAGAGCAGGAGTGATGTGAAGGGGGGATGAAGGTACTGGGAAGAAGAGGAGGTGGCCGGGGACCGAGGGGCAGTGGCAGGGAATGCTGGCTCGCAAGCTGCAACAAAGTCCTGTGGTGTGTGGGGGGGTCCCTGCTTTTATGCAGCAGCTGCTCCCCTGGCCCAAGCTGGTGGCTGGCTCCTCTCCCAGGGAGATGGGGAGGAAAAGGAGGCTCCACCTGGGTCCTACTGCCCTTGGACTAGCATACAGGAGGTCCGTGCATGACAGATTTATACCTTCCCTCCCCATGCTGCGAGTTCAACTGAATCAGTTTGTCATGGTGATTCTGGGGTCCTTTGTTTCCCCGATAATAAATAATGGGGTCACAGGGCAGCTGCCACGCAAACCACCTGGGGCCTGTGCTAGGACGAGAGGTGATCTCTGTGCTAGATAGTATAGAACTTAGTATTGAACCTATCCTTTGGAGGTCAGAGAAGAGTTAAAATGAGAACTGGGTGGCCAAGAACCCAAAGTTTTTGAAATCAAAGCTAGAAGTTAGCACAGGCTGCCATTAACAGCTCAAGGGTAGGTGTTGCTTGGCTATGGCAGCCTCACTACATACATATGCAGGACGCTTCTAGCAAAGTGGACCCTTTTTTGTTTCTTCTCTCTTCCTCCTCTACATTAAATCCCACTCTTTTGGCCAGCAGCTCTTTAATAGTGCCTTCTGTGGTGGAAAAAGATAATCTATAAACTCAATTGGGTGGCATGGGCTGGATGTAAGGACCGCTCAGGACATCAGGGAGGCCCCATGCCAAGGCTGCTGGCTGGGCTGCATGATGCTCCTTGCCATGGCCAGCTAGCGAAGCCATCCTGCTCAATTCCCCAGTCCCAAGCTGCACGGAAGAAAGAGCTGAAGAAGGTTTGTCAGGCTCCTGTGCCAGAACTTAGACTCCAGCCACATTTGGCAAGGATACTAATGCTTCTTCCCCTTCTTTAATTAAATCTACCAAAGGCATTTAGCTCAGTGGCAGCCCAACCTGAAATAGCACCACGGAGATTTCAAAAGATCCAAATCCAATCTGTCCTTATGACAGAAAGATGAACAAAACTGGGATTTTCTTAAAAGATTTCCTAAAATCTGTGGCATGTTTTGGAATGTCAAAGTTTAATACCAGGGCCTGGACATGTGCCCTGAGCAAGTATTTCCACATGAGAAGGTTACTGAGACATAAACCAAACTTGTCTTCTGCTACAGAAATTAAGCTGGATCTAGAAATGGGCAACTCAGTGATTTTCCTTCCTTTGAGTCTTGTGTCTCCAAGCTCAGTTTAGTGATTTGAAGATGAAGCAATTTCCCTTCCCAGCTTTAAAAAAAAAAAGTTATATATATATATATATATATATATATATACACACACACACACACCTGAGGTTCATCTTCTTCCTCCTTCTCCTTCCCCCTGTTCTTCCCCAAAATGTCCCAGCTTTATAACCCCTGGGCACTTAAGGGGCTTGGCAGGTTAGCACTGAAGGT